TACTGGAAATTTGGAACCAATACTGGTAGGGGCATATTGAACATATTTCAGGCCCAAACAATGCCAGGGGCTTTTGGGTAACTTCAATTGTCATCAGATGGGTGCGACAGGGTAAGTCACCTGTCAGAGGGGCATACCGCAAATTAATGTAAGTCGGAGGGGCATTTTGAAAAATTTTCCCCTTCTTTTTTTGAATTTATTAAAATCCCGAGTGGAATTTTTATTATGGGCCCCAGGGACCTTGTCCCACCTGCGTCGTTTACCTAGGTCTGCGTTTTTTTTTTTTTTTTTTTTTCTCTTGACTGTAGAAGGTGCTGCGTAGATCAAACAAGTATATATACTCTCTTTTTTTTCTTTGTTTTTTTTTTTGCGTTTTCAAACAGGTGCGACGGTTGGTGACACAGGAGATGCTATCTATGCTAAGTGTGTTGATGCCGTACTATTTTCTGTTTTTTTTTTAATTGAAAACCCACAAAGAATCACAACGCCCCCTACCCCCTACCACCATTGCTACAGGCTTTTTTACAAAATTTCATTTCATGTAGCTGCTCCTTTTAGTCTGTAAGAGGCTGCTTCCTTGTTTTTCTTCTTCTTCTTTCTGACAAGGGCCATGCACAGGACAAATCCAGATAAATGTGAAAAAACACAAACCATAGACGATTCCGCATGTCCAGAGAGTCATGAAGTTGGGCTGCGAGTGGCCATTATAGTGCTCAACACAGCGGTCATCGCCCGAATACAACGTACGGTCATTATAGCTGCATTTGGGGCAACTTTGAGTCCAGATGCAGCAATAACGACTATACATTATATTTGGGTGAAGATGGTAGCAATGTCGGTTTCCCCCAAGGGCAACGCCTACCCACCGGGCATCACCGTGATGATGGGCTACCTAGTACAAGGGCTACCTAGTACAGCCTTGCGCTTGCGCCACCCCTGTGGTGCAAACCTACCCCCTGAGCTGGCAAGAGATCCAGGTTTGTTGGTGTTCCCCCCTAATATACATTAGCAAGAGGAGGAGATAAACGAGGGGATGCTATGTATATAGAGATTGAGGGAAGAATACAGACTATGAACGAGGGGATGCTATGTATATAGAGATTGAGGGAAGAATACAGACTATGCGAGGATTGAGCCCTCCCAAGGCCTTTCGGACTTGGGCACCCGGCAGACAAAGTGGGCCCCAGCAACTTGAAGCCTCGAGCCCGCCTTACGTGAAGGCCGGTCTGCATTTCGACATGAGGTCTCATCCTTGTCATTTTTGTATTTTGGGGTGTAAGACAGTCGCCAGGGGCCACTTCGTTACGAGGCCCACGCCAGTGTGAACACGACATTTTGAGCCTCTAGGCTCTCCAAAGCAGCGACATGCCGAGATGCCTTTCTGCCAATGGGAATGCTGCGTGTGAGGCTGGCCACGTCGCACACTTGGGCTGCTTAACTGTTGCATGCCCAGGCCACTGTCTGCATTGGGCCTCAGCGCAGACACTTTGGCCCGAAGCCAGGCTACTGAGCCACACGCTCGAAGGAGGTCGCACTTTCCGTGAGCCTCAAGTGACCTCCCAAGGCTCCCTTGAGATTTTCGTTGTTTTGGCTGGGCCGCACTTGAGTTTCAACGGCAGACCCTTGAGATGCAAAATGTGGAAACATTCTGGGCCGCACTTGAGTTTCAAGGGCGGTGGACCCTTGAGATGCAAAATGTGGAAACATTGGGGGGTGCACTTGAGATGCAAAATGTGGAAACATTGGGGGCCGCACTTGAGTTTCAAGGGTGGACCCTTGAGATGCAAAATGTGGAAACATTCCGGACATCCAAATGGATGTAATTAGGGAGGCCCTGGGGTGGAACGATGCTTCCTTGAAACTCAAGTATTCTCAAGTGGTGTCCAACGAGGTCCACGATGATCTCCACCTGACTGAAAGGAACGATACACAGAAGATGAGCATGGACCCCGTGCTACGATGACACGCATTATAGTTATAGCTGTATTTGCGACAATCGGGGTCGGCTTGCCGTATTTGGGAGACTCGGGTTACAAAAAAAAAAAAAAAACTCGGGTTACTTGGGGTCGGCTGTATTTTTTTTTTTCTTTCTTTCTATATTCTTCTCTCAACTTCTGTTTCTTTGCCTTCCACTACCTACTCCTAAGACTATCTAGAGGGGACCCCTGCAAGCATAGTTTCCTCTCTCTGTGAAGGGGAGATTTCATGTTGGCTGTATTTGGGATATTGACTGAGACTATGACTGCCGCTCTATTTTCGGGTGAAGATGGTAGTTTTTGGCCTTTATGCAGACTTCTTTATTCTGAATTTTATGTACGTGTACATCCACATCAAAGGCTGGATTGCAGTCGAGTATGAAAAGTATGAAAACACAGGCAGTCTTGTAGCAATGCAAGAAAGCAAAGCAGTTGAGACCGAACTCAGGTGCTGATGACAACACATGTAGAGTTAAGTGAATGCAATTATATCATTAAGCTCAACAAGGAAGGCGTCCCCGACGCGTTTCGACGGCAGCCACGCCGTCGTCTTCAGGGGGGTTCTCCACCAACAAAATCCGTAAACTCCGTACTAAATAAAATCAAAACGTGGGGGACCAATCCTTTTTTTTTTTTTTTTTAAACAGGCCCAGTGCCCAAGGCTCGAATTATGAGATCCAACAAAACGCTAACACACGCCTCTTCCCATTAGGGCTGGAAGAGCCTCGGCCACTGCTCCCATAGAGACAGCTTCCCTATTCGACAGGGATATAGTACTGGCAAGGCGCATTGATTGCTTTCCAATAAGGAAGGATTCCTGGTGGGATCTTGTCATGGGAAGAGGAGAGGAGGAGAGAAACACAGTGCTTACACACACACACACACACACACACACACACACACACACACACGTGCGCACACACATACACACACACAGAGGCACGGACACATATCACCGCACACGCACAAACACACAGGCACATGCAAGGAGGGGAAATCCGTGTGTGAGTGTGTGTGTTGTCATCTTCACTGTGCACAACTTCAGAACGAAGCATGACCTTTCCAGACCGTTTCGTCGGACTTCCACGGAGTCATCTGTGTGGTCGTGTGTGTGTGTGTGTGTGTGTGTGTGTGTGTGTGTGAGAGAGAGAGAGAGAGCATCTGTCTGAGGAGAAGCGTAGGTGTTGGTACCACTGGACGAGGGCTGACAGCCTTTGGCCAAGGCCGAGAAACACAACCAATTCGAATGATTACGGGAAAGAAAAAGACGATGCTTCGACGAACTGTCGCCAACCTTGCTGTGTTGAAATGGGCAACAGGATCCTCCGCCTTCCCTCCTTTCTTTCCTCCTCGAGGGGTCGAGTCCGACTTTCTCGTACGAGTCGTATCCTTGATTTTTGTGATTTTTGACCGTAGATTGCGTAGATCGACGGTCGGAAAGGAAGAACTTTAGAGGGAATGGGGGACTTGGCTCCAGGACCTACCTATGTTGCACGGTTATGTCGCTGTAGTTCGGGCAGGATACCACCAACATAAGCACCCTTAAAATGATTGTATACAAGCTATATTCCGGGTCAGGTACAGGCAAAATGAGGGTGCGTTGTGTTCGGGGGAAGACGGTAGCCTGGGACAGAGGAGGACCTCTCTCAAACCCTAGATTCCTAACGGGAACTCCGAACTCATCTGCCTTAGGGCGAGATCCCACTAGCAAACAGGATTGGTTTAATTGCCTGAATCTGGATGTGTTTTACGCAGAGATGCAGAAAAGCAGATTATTCGTGATTACTACACCCACCTGTCAGCAAAAACCTCCGGACACACCTTTCTCGGCCTTTTGGCTAAGATAAAGTGCATTGTATCTGTTCTGATCAGCTTAATATATATATATATATATTTTTTTTTTTTTTTCTAAATCAGTCTGATGATCCGTTGTCCATCGGGAAAAGAAAAAAAAAAAAAAAAGCCAATAACCTCCGGATTCAGGCGTGTGCTCTTTGCTACCGTCTTCCCCCCGAACACAACGCACCCTCATTTTTGACTTTATCAGGCCGGAAACATACCTTTCAGGGTGCGTTATATTCGGTGGAAGATGGTAGTCGGAGCTTGGCCTTAGGTTCTCCTCCCAGATGTTTGTGACTTGAATACCGGGGCGCGGCCCCACCTACAGGAATTCTTCATTTCTGAACGTAGATCTATGGGATCAACGGTCAGAACGAAAGAATCCCGGAGAAAGTGGAACCCTACCGCTTCCGAGCAGATACAGACGGCGAATCGCTAGACGGGGAGGGGGTTAGGGGAGGGGGGGGTAGGGGAGGGTGTGTGGGAGGAGGAAGACGGGACGGGACGAGGGAGTGAGTTGAGAGGGAGGGACAGTCGGGGAGAAGGAGGAGAGTTTCATGCCGGCAGGGGAGGTGGGGGAGGAGGAAGAAGACGAGGAGGACGTCAATAAGCAGGAAAACGGCAAGGCTGAGAATGGACAAAGATCGTGTGCCTAAAGAAACATCCCGCGGTGACAACGACTACCGCCTCGAAGAAGGAGCAGGAGGAGGAGGAGGAGGAGGAGGAGGAGAACGACGACGAAAGGAGGAATAATAACGTCTATCTGCGTTCATTTCGTAGGCCATTTGGACGACGAAGTCGTACGTCGAGGAGGAGGGGGAGGAGGCGGAGGGGGAGGAGGAGGAGAAGGAGGGGGAGGAGGACGCGGAGGAGGAGGAGG